CTGATTATTCTAAATTTGTTTTATACAAATTAATTATAAATAAAAGGGGTATGTTTGTTTTATCGTTTTAAATACGATAGATTTATTTTACATCAAATAACCAACAAACATCATTTACAAACAAATAATTTGTGAAATAACCTAATTATAGTATTTAAATGAATAATAACTTAAAAATAACAATGAGTGTACCAGAAGATAACACAAAACAAACGAAATTACTTTTAATTGGAGAAACAGGAAATGGGAAAAGTTCACTTGGTAATTTCATTTTACAGAAGTATGTTTTTAAAGTAGGTGATAGTCCAAATCCAGAAACAAGAGAAGTTGTTGGAGAAAATGGAAAAGGAGAAAGAAATGATTTAATAGTTATTGATACACCTAGTCTTCAAGAATCAAAAGAATTTAATGAAAAGTTTTTGAATGATATAGTTGGATATTGTTAAAAAACAAGAAGGAATCAATGGAATTGTTATTATTCTAAATTATAATACAAATAGAATTTCCAATAACATTAAAATAATGCTTCAAATAATGTCTAAAATCTTTCCATCACATGACTTTTTGAAACATATCTGTATTGTATGGAATAAATGTAGTAATTCTTATTCAAAAAAGAGAATTGACAAAGATAAAATTGAAAAAGAACAATTCAAAGAAAAGTTGACTGAATTTATAAACCAAATAAATAAAACAAATGAAGAATTTGAAATACCAATGTATTAGGTAGATTCACAACCAGATGAAAGATGTGATAATAGAATATCAGAAAATGAAATAGAAAGATTAATTGAGTGGGGAAGAGGAATAACTCCTATTAATATTGATACAAATAAACAAGAAAAAACACCAGTCATAGAAGAAAAAGAAGAAATAGAATCAATGGGAAATAATGATAAGCAAATAATAACACAAGTCAAAAGGAAGAGAAGAGAAATAAGAATTGAATTTAATGGAGAAATTAAATAAGGTGATTGGAAATTAATAAAAGTTATGAGTAATGAAAAACAATCAAGCAACCCATTAAAAACAGTAGCATTAATAGGAGCAATAATAACAGGAACAATTATATTTGTTTTGGTAAAAGGTAAATAGGTTTAAAACAAATAATTTTAATTAAATTCAATTAACTATTTTTTAAAACATTAAATTGAAATTATTGAAATAACAATCGAATAATTTAATTTATCAATTCCAATATAATTCAAATTAAAAAGAATGAAATAATGAAATAAAGAATAAAATAATCTTGAAAATGTTGAATGAAATAAAGACAAAAATAATGAAAATAAAAGAAGAAATTAAATAATATTTTTTTGAAATAATAAAATATTTGATAAATCACTTTAATTGTTGTTATTCAATGAAAATTAATCATAAATTCAATATTAAAAGATAGAATTATGACAAATTAAATAAACACATTTTCATAAAAAGAATAAAGAAAAATAATAAATAAATCAAGAAGTGGATATATTCAAAAGAAGAATGATAAATGAACAACACTCAACAAATACAATTGAATTATCTCATTTATTTATATAAAATAATGTGAGTTGTTTATTAATCTTTAAATAATACTTTTATATCCAATTTGAATATTATAATTAAAATAAATTAATTTATTGTGTTAATAGAATTATTCATTATTTTTGAATAAAATTTAAATATGAATATAAATTAAAAACGATGTTATAAATAATTTGTACAAACACATTTATTTACACATAACAGTGAAATGAAAATATAAAAATAAAAACATCATTTGAAAAAGACAAATAATATGAAATGGGATATGGTTAATAAACAAAAAATGGATAAAAAATTCAGAAATAGTTTGGAATATCATTAAATAATAAACAAAATAAAATAAACGTCATTCAACAAAAACAAAAATAATTTTAAATACACTGAAATAACCTAATTGTAGTATTTAAATAAATAGGAACTAAAAAATAAATAATGAGTTTACAAGAAGGTGAATTAATGAGTTTACAAGAAGATGAATTAAAACAAAAACGAACCAAATTACTTTTAATTGGAGAAACAGGAAATGGGAAAAGTTCACTTGGTAATTTCATTTTACAGAAGAATGTTTTTGAAGTTAGTGGTAGTACAAAACCAGTTACAAAA